ATTGTAATTTTTAGATGGGTCTTCTTTCATTTGAATGTTTAAATTTTAACTGTCATGGATTAACTGTCATTAACTGTCATGAGCCATGACAGTTTTAAAGGCTACTGAAACATAGCAGCATCCCATAGCTATGCAGATAGCTGTGAAATATAAAAGCAGTTGAATTTGGAATGCTGAGTTCAGCATGATGAATGCCTCTAGCACAAGATTAATGACTGCTGGAATTTGGAGTGGTGGAGACTAAAGGGCCCGGGGCACATTCAGCACTCTGTGCTAACAACATGGCAACATAACATGTTCTCTCTAAGCCTTCTCAAGTAACACTCAGCACAGGACCTGAATACTTGGCCTTCTAAATTTTCTGCTAGCATCTAAGGTGGCGAAATCTTATGTAGACACTTAATTTGATTGATCTGGATTATTGATATGCCATCATTGTTATAAAAATCTAGATGATTCAATGGAGGTTAGACATCCAGGTAATGAGATACACAAGGAAACTCTAGCAACTGGATAGGTTTTGAAAATTGTCAGGCGTTTCAAGTAGCATCCACTCCTTTTTATCAGTGACTAACGGAATTTATCCAAAAACTATGAATTAATTTGTAAATGAAGTGAACACACTTATTGAGATAGTCCATAAGAAAATAGGTAAAGGTTATATATTAGGGTAGCATGTACATGTTATCATGATATTTCATTTTTCAAGCCTCAAAATATGCTTAAACGATAAAACCAGGTAATGATACATAATGTCAGGATGTATCAAAATTGAGGATGTATAAAAGTGATGCCAATTTATAGGGTTTGCCTTTACTAGTATGATACATTGTTGGAGTTCTTAAACTGTTAGATTACTTGACCCTGGAAAATTCCATGTCTGGGAGTAGTGTAGCCTGAAAGTGTAACCCCCAACCGATGGATACATCCAGATGTAACCATGCAAATCGGATAGCAGGTACTTAATCTTCCTATGATTGCCAGGGGCACATTTGGGTGTCTCGATCAATAGGGTAGGGCAGCTTGTCTTTGCTTTCACGCCACCTGAAAAGCCATTCAGGCAACGGCAAACAGCAGTTGGGCAGTTTACACCTGAATCGTTCGGAAAGTAACGGTACCAGGAGGTTAACCACTCTCTGCTGTGTGTGTGGAGCAAGGGTCAGTTATGCGGATTGTGTCACTTAGGGACGGGGCCGATACACCGAGCGCGCATCGCTGATGGCCAAATAGCCGCCGCCCAGTCGGCCAAACCGCCTGCGTCTCCGCGAGTGATCCGGAATATCCATCTTTCGGCGGGTTGATGAGTCTACGGGGAAGGATGCGGAATGGAATGGTGCCGGCCGGAATTCCAACGTCCTTGGCCAAGGGCATCGCAATCTGCCACAGTTGGAATGTTTGGCGATTATTAGGGATCTTACAAATAAAGGTGGACAGGAAGTTACTAGGGTTTCCGGGAAAGTGATGATCTTTTATCGTCACAAGTTCAAGTTTGACACGCACTAGCTGTTGAACAAAAAGAACATGTGTAGCTTTTCTGGAAAACTTACCATTTACTTTTTTCTTGTACATCAAAAAGTATGATGCCATGCTGACTTACTTAGAATATTATGTAAGAATAAATTTGATATGACATCAAATCAAGTTTTCAGTGAAATGAATTTTATTTTGTCATATTTGGCATAAATCCAGAAATAGGTTTTGCTCAATTTCAAAGTGGCCTGGTTTTGAGTGAAGATTTGGTTGTCATTTTTCATTAGCAATTCTATTCCTAGCAAGCAAGGAAAGAACGAAAAGGACTTTACCAGATCAGCTATAGATCTTCTTGAGTGAGAGCCTGGGTCATCGTTGTTTGAACCACAGTTCCCGAGTCGATTCCCCGCGAATCCCTCTTCATTTCAAGCACTGTTTACCTCACCCCCTGAAATTGATTGATACAGTAATTAGATAGGAAGTTACAGCCCTATGAATTCACGCTCGCGTATGATGAATCCCCCTCCCCACACCATTCCCTATCACATTAAGCTAATTAATTACCCCTGTTGATAACGCTTCATTTTCTACACAAGATGCAGTAAATATGTCTCCACACTATAATGGAAAGGTCGTTTCCTAGCTGTTGCTGTTTGTGCCGTGACCTCTGGAATTAAGTTCGGCCGGCGAGGGTTTGAATTTCAGGCTTGGCCGGTGGCGGGGAAAATATCGTCATTTCCAAATTTCGTTTTATCTTCAGGTGGCGGCATTATGGCGTTATAGACCCTACCCGTGCGCTTATCGTGGCGAGCGCAGGACCCGGTCCCGCGCTGCGTCGCCTGCATACTGATGGTTATCGCGGTGTAACTAGATACACGGCGAAGAGATCATCCTTTACAACCCGGGCTATTTAGTTCACGGGCACACAGATGAGACAGGAGATGTAATGTAATTTGGCGCGGGTGTCCCTGACAGGATTGCACTAAAGGGGATGGCTCTGTTTTGTCTCTCCGGAGCTTAGCGTTTTTGATGTCGTCTGATTCTGTCATTTTACGATGATTGAAGCAGTGAGAATGTATGTATGTAATGTAGGGGTGCCCAGAAAATGTGGGAATGCCTCGGGTCAGTTAAGATAACTTGTTGTGACATGTACACCGTGAAGTGTAGGAAGTTTGAAATATAATTTGGATAGACGTTACAACCATTGCTCTAAGGTATCATGTTGTTATGATACTCTAATGTAATATTTTCCCTTTAGGCAGTAGGTTTTGTAAATACAAAGTAGTGTACGTAAGTCAATTCATAACACGGTAAAACAACATTGTGCCATAAATAGTGCTTGATAACTTGGCAAACTCTTGATGAAGCCAAAAATATATGTTTGAGGATATGTAAACACTAGTTGTTGTGACACACTCAGCTTTATGTCAGGTATTAGCAAAAAGTACAGGTGCATTTGCGTAGGGGATGGGAAGGTTTTTTAGGCTTTGTCTGCAGAAAAACACCATTATCACAATCATGCACTAACGGACATTGCTTTTAGGTGGTAGCCAAGCAATAAGAGAACAATCACTTGTGATTAGGAAAGACAAAACAAACATAGAACAAACTTATCTTTGTAGTTACATATTTCACAAAAATCAAGATGGCATTCTTGAGAGGGAAGCTTGTTCTTTCCTTGATAAGTGAATCATATTTACATCCAATAGCTTATAGCGCTTCGAATATGGTGCCTTAAAAATTTTTCAAAATTGCTCACCAAATTCAAAGTGACGAGTGCTGAGTGCTCTTGTCCAAAGCATTCATGCCCAAACCTCCATTTCTTCCCAATGATATTCAAGGTTCTCATATCATATTCTTGTCACAGGGCTCTTTCCAGACTTGTTTCAAAATGATGGTATAGTGTAGTAGGTTGTAACATTGCTATAGATCTTTGGCATGTTTCCTAAGAATACATAGATATGTGTGGTTTTGTAGTAGTATAGTAGTACTTTGATGTTGCAGTACAATTGTTCCCATTGTCAAGCAATCTCGCCTAACCCTTATATACGACATGGCACATGGATATGTCATATGGAAATGGGCATATGCTCTCCATTGATCTCGGTGATGGGTCTCCAGCGACCGTATTTGATGTCGCTTCCACCATCAGAATACATGAGGGAACACATGGTTCGTGTGGAAAGGCATGTCAGCTCCAATCCTGGCTGTTGCCACTCTCCTGACTTCTGAGCTACTGGAAATGGTTGTAGTCCTTAGGAGCATTAGGCCTAGGAAAGAAAAATTGTGTTCCCGGTTTCTTGACCGACCCTAGCAAAAATTCGAGCACCCTAGGCAGCCATTTGGTAAAGCTAGAAAATTTCGATCTGAATTTCTAAGCCTCTGAATTTCAAGCCCTCTGAAGTTTAAAATTTCTTTTACCACATTTTCAGAAGCAGTTTTTTCTTCAGTAAATCGGGTGAAATATTTGTGTAATTAAAATCTAACAGGTGGATAATTCCTTGAAACATTCCCAATGCATTGTTAAAGTTTATTTGTTGGATCATTTAGTCAAAATCGAAAATAAATACTTTGAAATAAGAAGAAAATCCCTACCTACAACTGACCTTAGTTTTTTCAGGAATGAAACCGGAAACACAACATTAATTTTCCCAGGCCTAAGCCTTGTTCCACTTTGCATATGTAATAATTTGTGTAAAAAGGGAAGAGAATTTATCTTGAACATTGAGCCTGTGTGTAGTGGCAAGAGCATCTGTCCCTGTCAGGATCTGTGAACAGTTGACATAGGCGCACTTCCGTTCTAATCTAACCGCCCGTTCCTCTGTCGTTTTCAGCGAGTACCTGTCGTGCGCGTTCTCGTTCTTCCTGCACGGCGAGAGCACGGTCTGCACCAGCGTGGAGATCCAGGAGCACCAGTTGGTGGAGCGCCTGTCCGTACAACACTTCAACAACGTGCAGGGCACCGCGGGCGGCTTCCACGGTCAGGAACTCACATTTATGATTTTTTTTTAATTATTAAGATTTTTCAAACTTCATAACCACTCTCAATACTGTATATTGTATAGAAAGTATAGTGTGAATACATAATATTACAGAAAAAAAAGATGAATTTTCAATTTCGAGGAATTACATTTATGATTGTCTTCCAAAGTATTGCCATTGTTGTCTCCTCGAATTTAACGTTTTTGAAAGAACGTTGAACACTACTTCAGTATTTTCTCCAACATTCTGACACAGGTTTGCACTGTAACTGTAATTTCAAACACAAGAAATTGAACTTCAGACTGTTCAACTCCAGTCTTTGTCAAGGAATAATGTTGCAAATGTATTTCTATTGGTTGGTCTTTTCACTTTAGAAAAAGGTATAAAGCAGTGCTCTATTTTTTTCTGTCATGGGCAGGAAAATTCTGTCAAATGACTGAAAGACTGATGTTGGCTAGAACAAGTTGGTATAAAGTTTTCCGATTTGGAACTTGCCCATGTTTCACTCATGTCTGTTTACACTGTTGTACAGTCCTCCTGAGTCCATATGGCCTGCACGCCACCCTAACGGGGCGGACCTACAAGGCCAGCGACCCCACCACACACAGGCTCCTGGACGAATGGAAGCACTTCTACCCCCTGAGCGACCAGGCGTCTGCAGACGTGGGGGCTGCAGGGGACGCCAGTAACACGCTGCCTGTAGCCGTGGAGGTGGTTGTAGGTAAGTGTTGAGTACCAGTGCCTTTGTAAAATAGCTTTATAGAGTTTAGTTGGTGCAGGTAGAATTGGAACTGTGCAGGTATTTCTGATATACAGTCAAACCTGTCGAAGCCGGACACCCATGGGACCAATTCTCAGGGAACCAGTTCTCAACATTTCTTTTTTTTTACTTGAACCGAACCGTTTTTATATATCTGGAACCGTTCCGGTGTACCGGTACACAGCACTAAGGCCATGTACTGGGTTTATATCACAAGTGTAGGTCTATTAACAAGACAAGTGTAGGTGTATCAAATGTCACCACCCATGAAGTGTACCAGTACTAGTAGTAATGGCAGTAGTTTCTGAACAGTTTTTAGTATGATCTATACTTCCTAAATTCTGAGTGGTCCAGGTAAAATTTTTCTGATGCACATAATTTTCCACGTTACTAGACTAAGTGCAAAGTATTTCAAGCCATATTGTTGTAGTAGTTGGGGATGCACATATGTATTACCTTAGTAATACAGACTATGTGTTTGTTTCTGTACTGCTGTGCTAAGTATATATCATCCCTGTAGGTGGTTTGTTCAATACATGTGATGCTGGGCTAAGTACATTTTATACAGGTAGGGGGTACGCAGTCATGTGTGATGTTTTGATACATGTACCATAGGGCTCTAGCTAGCTCAATTTTGTAATTTCATGATTGGACCTGGGGGGAGAAGAGTGCTCACACTCTAGGGGGGTCTGGGGCAAGTTGTGGATTTTGAAACCTTTAAAAATGCAGTCTTCCACATTTTGAGAGGCTTGAGATGGGGTTGAGAGTGGTTGTTGGTGGTCCTTTGTATGTTTTTATATTTTTACCTAAGATTTTTGTCAATTTTGTCACATCATTGACGGATTGGTTTAAAAAATGTTGTTTAAAAAAACGGGCTGGTTAGAGCCCTAATGTACCACTGTACTAAGTATCAAGTATCTGTCCTATCCATAGGTGGTGTGCGGATGTGCTACCCTACCGAGTATGTGGTTGTGCCCATGGTCCACTGTGAGGAAGGGACCCAGACTGGAAGCGGTGGGGCCAGCTTATCTGCAGTACAGGTGAGATTTAAACCTTCATATTCTACCACCTAAGGCCACACCAATTTGATTTGTTGGTTCTCTGATTTCTTTCAGAAAAAGTATGAAACGAGAGGGCGAAAAAAATAAAAACAGACCTAGCTGTCCTCTGATAGCCCTAAAAGCTATGATAATGAATTTAAAAACCTTTTTATCAAACCAATGGATTGATAGATGGAAAAATTGTAACAACTAGGAAGACAAGTAGCTTTCTTCAACTGTTTGGGCCAAATTGTGAGCATTTTGGAGTTGATTCAGAAAACCCAAATTTTTTTTTTTTTTTTTTGCAAATCAGAAAAAAAATGAAGCGGGCAAATCCGAGACCCAATGACTCAAATTGGTATGGCCTAAGTCTCTCATGAGAGTTTTCACTAAAACATGAGAAATTATAAGTCATTGTAATAATAGTTTATGTATGATAACCAGGACTGCCAGTATAAGATATGAGCTAATTCTGTAAACTGGGTGATCTCTAGATCCCATATCGATTCAAGTCCTCTATGATAGATGATACCTATTAATATAGTGACGTATGCCCATATCATCAATTTTAAATCCTACTGTATTTGTGGTAAACAGAGCTTGTTATTATAATGGTAGGGATCCTAGCTTTGTGATAAGTAGTAGTTTTTCCTATCAGTGACAACAGCATGTTGTCCATGTAACATTGGTGATTATAAATCTTGATATATTACTCTGTATCCATCTGTCACGGATCTACCATGAAATATGTGGGGGGTGCTAAGCCTTTAAAACTGGGTGAGTTGCAGTCCAAACTTGACCCCTGCCACCCCCTCCCGTGACGAATGGAAGCTGCCAACGACCTTAACCCCCATTGGCCATAACTCTTAAATCCAACAAGGTCACCTGTGACATAGGGGTCGCCCTGTGTGGGATGGTATGCCATGGGGTTGGATTCGGTCAGGACTTGTCAGAAACCAGAAACGCAACTACTTTTTTGTAGGAAATTGGTAGGAATTTGAATCAAACTTACTTCGTAACTATTTACCAATCAGTACAAAGTATTATGAAGTATGAAATCATCATTATGAAGTTTGAACTGTAATTTCCAACACAAGAGACTTAACCTAATTTTTGACTGTGCAACTCCAGTCTTTGTCAAGGAATAAGCAATTCACCGCTTCAGTGACGTATTTGCATATCAATTAGCGATGGTTTCTTTTTTTTGGCAAATGTTTATGATATGTGAAAAAAATCTCGAATTGAGTATTACATCGGAAATAAACTTGAATTTTACTGAATTAGAACAAGATTATGCTAAAGCCATGGCGTCTTATGTTATTTCAATTCTAAATGCAAATGCAAAGTTATTTGCATTAAGTCACCACAGAGCAGAGTGCAGCTCCCCCCTATTTACATCTCGGGGCAGATCGTTGAACAGGTACCCGCCTACACACACCTGGGTCTTACTGTGCACCAGTCCCTACGCTGGACAGAACACGCCCAACTTACCTCCAACAAGGCCAGGAGGACAATGGGACTCCTGTGGAAGCTACGTGGTAAACTCTCCCAAGAAGCCCTGGAACTAGCCTATTTCACGCTTATTCGTCCTAAGCTGGAATATGCTTCCATCCTACTTACCAACATCACTGCTGCGGCATCCAAGATCCTGGAGCGAGTGCAATACCACGCTGGGCGTCTCGTTTCGGGTGCGGCTGCGCGCACACCCTACTCAGAGATCCTCCACAAGCTCAGGTGGGATAGTCTGGCGACCAGGAGGGACTACCATCGGCTAGTTACCATGTACAAACTTGTTAACGGCCCCGTCCCAGCCCACCTCGAGCCACTAATCCCGACGACCCGAGTCGCAAACAGCCAATCCCAGCGACGACTGCGGAACGCTCATCACCTTCACATCCCCCGGTGCAGAACAAACGTCTACAGAGACAGTTTCCTGTTGTACACCTCCCGACTGTGGAACCGCTTACCCAGCGAGGTCACAGGGTCGGCAACCATCTCCATATTCAAGGCCAAATGCAAACACCACCTCTTATCCTGATTACCTTAACACCAATTGTAAATAAAAATCCTCCAACCGTTCCATTTCAACTTTGATCATTTTATCGATTTGTATTGTAATTACACTGTATTGCTTAATTATGTATTGATTGAATTTGTATGTACTTTGTATGTTTATTGCTATTGTAAATATTGAATTGAATTTTTATGTACCAAGTGATATTGTATTTAAGTTATACTGTACTTTGTATTTATGCATTTATGTGTCAGTGGTAGCCGCTACCAGCCTTGTTGCTGCCTGGTTGCCACTTGTTATGCACTGTTGCATTTAAATAAACAAACAAACAAACAAACAAATCTACAGATAAATTTCTTAAATTAACAGTGAAAAACTAGTCTAGTCATACAGGTATGTGGAAGGTTGCATGCCTGGCAGAAACTTGACTCTGATGACTGGCCAGACCACCAGGAAGTAGGGGCAACCTCAAGGTCATTTGTGACCTCAGAGGTCAATATTCTTGGCAAGGTCACAACTTGTGGACTGTGGCATTGCAAAGATGAAAAAAAAATGGACCAAAAATTTTAACTTTAAACATGTAACTACCAACACAGATGAACTTTCATGATAAAAAAAATGTTGTTCAGTAAAACAGTTGCAGATTGTTTACATGCGTCACTGATGTTTGCCAGTATTATGATTTATCTAAAAGTTGAGTGGTCAGAGTTGTTGACTCAGAATCCAAAGGTTTTGGGTTCGAACCCCAGGCAGGCCCAATCGTTGTGTAGTATTTCCTCACTGTAAATGAGTTTCAGACATAAAGCCGAGGTCCTGTGTTTGAGGAGAGACATACCTCAAGCACATAAAAGAACCCACCACACTTATTGAAAAGAGAGAGTCACAGGTTTCAAATCTTGAAGAGGTGATAGTCGCCCATTATGTCAATCCCTCCACAAATGTGGTAAAGCTTATAAATAAATAAATGAATAAATAAAAAATAAACTGTATGTAACTCAACCAGATGCTGAAAGAATATCAATTTCCACCCATGGGGATTTAAGATGTTAATGAGGTTATTAATTTTGCTGTCTCTCTCAACCTCATCTAAGATTAACAAAGGTAACATGATAAATGTGAAAATGTTTCCTAATGCAATTAAAGTATGGGAAGGAAAAGGATGACTAATGACACCTTGAGGGCAAAACATTCTTTGTTCCGACTTTTAAATCAAGACTTATTGCATCTTTCACCTTGGAGTATATATTTCGATGAAAGGTTTATATTTGTTAAGCCGTCTTTTGGCTTCCAAATGCAATAAATATGTGTTTGTTGCATCGTAAACTGCTTTGGTGGAATCATGGGAAGTGGAATGAACCAAGATGAAATGGGGGTGGAGGGTCGGCATACAACTAACTTTTGTTTCAAGCTTTGCATATGCAAGATATTGCTCCTAATACTAATATGATTATGTATGCACACGAAATTTTGTCCTTTTATTTACTGTATCCTTATCCTACTAATGAAAAACTAAAAATAGAAGATTTTTATTACCTTCGTCAGAAGGTTATGTGTTAGGTGCACTATATTTAGGGGTTGGCGAGTTTTTAATCGGTTGTAACTCGGTGTAGCGCATGTGTCTTCATGATATTTGGTAGGTAGGTTAGGGTTGGGAAAACAAAGATCAAGGTTAATTATGGGAAACCTAGCAGCTTTGTACGGTACTGCAGCAGTGTACATGGGTGTGATATCATCATAAAAAGTTAATTTGAGGCAAAGCAATCTTGAACAATACAACGTGTAAGTTGCAAAACACAAAGCAAAAAAAAAACCAACGCAAACAACAAAGGTATGACTGAGATTATTGACCTCTAGTTCCAGTATGTATCATGCCATTCTCAAATGTGTGTTCCCCTTCATAATATGTA